TGTAGAACGGCAACGTTTTCACTTCCTACTTGTTCAATTAATTTTTCATCGAATAGTTCAGATGATGAAACAGCCTTCCTCCTTTTATATTACCATTTAGTAGTTAAATATCCTAAAGGTAAATTCTATTTCTTTTAAAATTTCATATTATTTTTATTAAATTCAGGCAGAACAATTTAATGAATATTTCAAAATGAATTTCAAATTTATATTTATTCAAAAAAAAAATTTTGTATTATACATTGAATTTAATATTATAAAGAAAAGAAATTAAAACAATTATTCATTATCAAAAAGAAAAAATATATTTGATAAAATAAAAGAGATGAAATATATATTAGATAAAATAAGGAGATGTGATTAAAAAAAGCGAACCTCCCTTGTAGACAATCATATTTTGAACATGAGACGGGAATAATTCGAAAATTCGGAAAATACAATCTTGTATTTTAAAAACGGATTCCAAGACTTTTGGTCAAGGATATCTAAATATGAAATCGGATTTTTCTTTTGAAACGTCATTTTTTATGCTGCATCATCCACAAACCCTGCTTTCTCCTTTAACCCAAGTGAAATCTTCAGGCCAGTCAACCTTTTTCCTATCCTAATGAAACTTTCTGCGACGTTTAATTCATATAGACAACACTAATTTTGCATCGTTTGGGTCAAATATTTCAATCTGGCAATGATTTTCAGCCGTTGCAAGGTTTGGTAGAGCGACTGGGACAGCAATAATACATCCAAATAGTATAGGAAGGATTTGGGACCCGGAGCATAACAATGTACGTGAATGTTACATTTACCCAGTGGAAGCGATGTTATTTGAGAAACTTTGGGCGGCCCAATTAGGCGTGGAGGTAGGTTTGTCTCTATATGAGATCGAATCGGCAAATGGGTTGATTCTGGATTGTTGAGAATCGCTTGACCAAGTCACGTGAGATAAGAGAGACAAATTTTCGGTCTCAAAGTCACCAATACAGAAATTTCATGTTGTCCTTGCATGTTCTCAACCTTGCTGTAAAAGAATCTTGCCATTTTCTAACGAGAGGAAACTATTGACCGAAAAAAAAGAATTTAGGAAAAAAACTTTTTTAGAGAAAAAAAAAATGGGGATAAATAAAAAACTATCATTTACCAGGAAGAAATCCCAACGTTGATTATAAAGTATTTCATCTAATTCACCAATCATCGATATTTTATCTTGTTTGACCATTCATAATCCATTATGGATCGATTTCTTAACACCGTCATAAGACGCAGTGATGTGACCAACATAATTTTTATCCGAACAATATTTCGGAATTGTTGTCATTCCTACTTTTTTGTAGGTAGATTCTGACTGTAGCGATATAGTATGAGTCAAAAAGTGATGACTTTTGAAAAATGGTCCTTTTCTAAAGGAGACAGGGAAAGGAATTGTTCGGGTTTGTGGAATATGTTGTCGAATGCAAGCGTTTAGTTGAAATCTTGGAGGGATTTTGAATTGTGACAAGGATGGGGTTAAGGTTTTGTTGTCTGAGAGAACGATCAATCGATATTGCTTTGTGGTTAGCTTTTAGCTAACCGAAATCGTCTCTCCTACTCTCGTGAATTCTTCAATCATTCCAACAATCCAGAAAAATCGACTCGTTAACCGATTCGAGATCAAATCTACCTTCACACTTAATTGGGTATGGTGGTGTTACAGTTTCCGCAAAACGTTTCCCTAATAAAATCGCCTTCATCGGAAAGATGTAACATTCGAGAGGAGTTGAAGATCATTAGCCCCCTCACTGTTAAGGAATGAGGCAGGACATAAAGTTGGTGAACCGATCTTACTTTGTTATGCTCCGGGTCTCAAATTCCTTTCTATACTATTTGAATGTATTATCTTTTCCAATCGTCCCACCCACCAAACCTTGCAACGGCTGAAAAAGACATTGCCAGATTCAAATAATTGGCTCAATGAATGATGCAAAGTTTGTGTTTTCGGATAGGAACTATATGAATTACACTAGATTATGCGCCGCAGGAAGTTTTATTG